TGTACGTCAACAGTTAGCCAAACCACGTGAGGCTGGTAATATACTTCGGCCTGCAAGATTAACCTCGTCCGACCAGAGGCGTTATAACCTCGGGATCCTCCACGCGCCGGAGTCCAATGATCCATCACCCCAAGTGCGCAACGATCACGATGTCGAGTTTTTACAGAGTCTAACTGACAGACTCCTCGACGCTGGTGAGACAAAGTACTCATTTTGGAAAGCAACGTGATCAACAAAATCGGCCTATGAGAATCACTTTTGTGGGGGAAGCCAGTCCAAGACTGATCATGTCTTGCCTAAGTAGGCTGATACGTTTGAAGATCCATGTACGTCCAGAATTGGACCCAGTAGCCAGGTAGTGGCTCAAGTTTGCCATCATTAAGCGGAAAAGAGGCACTGGTGAGAGGGAAACCAATCTGCCTATCCGAAATTTTCAGGTGGCTTCCAAGAATCTGCTAAGCAGGATAAACAGGCCGCTCACACTTCAAGCACGCCCGGTGGCTCCTGCTGTGGCCTGCAAGTAGCCTACGCAAACGTTTGCAGTGTTATGAACACGCGTGATGAGGTTTGTTGTTTCGTTGCGCCTGAGCGGCCAGACGTAGTGGGATTCGCAGAGACATGGCTGCATTCAGAGTTACACATCCAGAAACTTGAAGTCAGCCGTTACTCGTGCTTCCGATGCGATAGACTAACGAATGCCCGAGGTGGTGTCATGCTTTCACTGCGTGGGAGAGTTATGAGCACCTACTGAAGTGACGATGGTTTGTGTGAGCTACTGTGGTGCTTTATCCGCTTCAGGTGCGCAGTCTACTGCAGCCCCACGAGTCGTTATTTGGATTGGCTGCTCAATCTTCGAACCCACATGAGTCGTCCACGCTTTCTACTTATGGACGATTTTGACTGCCCTCGGATACGATGGCCTGATGTGCATTTGATGCCTGGATATAGTGAGGTTGAAGTAAAGTTCGTGGATTTGGTACTTGAAACCGGTGCACCGCAACACATATGCTAGCCAACACGCATAACACCACGCTCAACCCCGTCCAGTCTCAGCTTCATGTTAACGAGCTAAGAACAACCAGTGCGTGACGTTCGGATCCTGGAGTCCCTGGCTACAAACGACCACTCAGTGCTCAAAGCTGATATAGAATTATCTTTGCCGTATTCACGTCGACTAGAACCACCTTACAACTACTGGGAAACGGACTTCGACGGTCTAGCTCGAGTCGCGAGCCAACTGGATCGGTCTCTGTCACAAGCTGCATCCATGGAAGATGGTTGGATATTTATAAAGGAGAGATGGACATCATTGTGTGCCCAATTTGTGCCCTTGAAATGTCGAAAGGTTGGACCGATTAAGCCCCAATGGTTTGACAAGGGGTAGGGAAAGCTGTCTCGGAGGCAGTGCAGACTGCAGGACAGATTCCTCCTCTCTGGCTCTGCCAATGACTACCAAGGGTATACAAGTCAGCGGAACCTATGCAACAGTGCAAAAAGAAAAAAGCACCGATAATTGGAAGAGCAGTTAGCAATCGTCCCGAAGACTGCCCAGAGTATTTTTGCTTACATGAAGCGACGTCTGAAACCGGCAGGTGATATGCCAGTGCTGGATGACCCAGATGGATAGCCCCTAACCTCCAGCACTGAGCGTGCGTCCGCGTTGGTGGCGCACTTCGCTTCTGTATTGGTAAATGACCAGGTGTCTGTTCCGAGTTCGACGTGTACCGCTTTAACCGAACTAGACAGTCTGGATTGCGGCGTTAAAGAAGTATGTCAACGACTCGCCAGCCTTGACGGCACCAAATCTGCCAGACCTGATGGGCTTCACCCACTGATCCTTAAGTCACTCTCTGCCATCATCTCGCCTGTCGTGACTGAATTTTTCAACAGGTCACTGTCCGAAGGTTCGTTGCCGATTGACTGGAAATGTTCGGTGGTGAAGCCTATTCCGAAAGGCGGCGACTTTAGAAAAGTAGGCAACTACAGAGCAACTTGTCCGACACCTATTTTGGCAAAGATTGCTGAGAAAATCGTAAAAAAGGGATTATTGCAGTTGCTACAGTCAAAAGAGGTCTTGGCGCTTGCACAGCACGGTTTTATGTAAGGCCGCATGTGCATTACAAACTTGCTTGTGACGAGGCATGCGTAGTTGAAGACAGTAAGCAAGGGAAAGTCTGTCGATGTGATATTAAGCGATTTCAGTAAAGCGTTCGACTAGGTCACCCATGAGGTCCTCCATCACAAACCCAGGATGTGCGGTGTCGGTGACTCACTGCACCGGTGGATCCGCGACTTTCTTGTTGGACGAAAATAGAGGGTACAGGTCAACGACGATCTAACTGACTGGTATCCCTCCACAAGTGGCGTGCCTCAAGGCACTGTGCTGGGGCCCATTCTGTTCCTGATCCACATCAACGATCTACCTCACATTCTTCGGTCGCCGTGTGCCTTGTTTGCGGACGACATGAAGATTTGGGGTGAAATGAAAGCGCCCGACGACTATGGCGTACTTCAACAAGACATCAACCGCCTAGCCACAAGGTCTACAGTAGTTCATCTCCCGGTCAACCAGCTAAATCTGTAAATACAGACTAAGGAAGCCTAAGGAAGGGTGCTGACGAACGAACCTACATCCTTGACGGTCAACCGCTATATCCCACACTCTCCGTGAAGGACCTCGGTGTACTCTAGCGCTACACTTTAAAGTCCGTGGACAACACGAACAGGCTATCATAACGGATCGCGCATGCTTTGGACGCTCAAACGTAGCTTCGGCACATGGTCTGAAGAGGTTGCCACTCGCCTCTTCTCTTCCGTCATTAGACCAATGCTAGAGTACGGTTCACCCGCCTACTTTCCGAGTACCCGAAGCGAGGCACAAAAGATCGAACGGGTCCAACACGTTGCTACCAGGTTCATCCCGAGTTTACGTGGTCTGCGGTATGAAGACCGGTGCGAGAAACTAGGACTCTATACCTTGTCCTACCGTCGGGGAAGAGTCAACCTCATTATGACCTACCGTATTTTACATCTCGGTGACTTCCCCATGCTGAGGCCAATTCTACACTTACGAGTGCCATGCAGCACACGCAGACACAGATACAAACTTGTCGTGCCAGATGTGAAGCGAGTTCTCCGCTCACTGTGCTTCGAACGGAGAGTGGTAAATATTTGGAACAGTTTGCATGATTATGTGATGGAAGCAACATCTGTGCAGCAGTTCAAAACGTTGTTAGATTTATATTTTACCACTATTCCATTCAGAGGACGATTGCACACTTACGAGGATATCACATTTGTGAGTCCTGCAATACCGTGAGTCAGATATGTTACATGTTACATGAGAACGATAACGGTAGTCACGGTTGACAATTCTTATATTTTTCGCCATATTTCGAAAGAGTTGTACATAATTCACTTCTACTTGCTCTATAATACAGTATTCAGTACCATATATAGCATCACGTTTAAAGTGCACGGAGAGGGAAGATACGCGGGAGGGAGAGGGACGAAGGAACATAAACATTATGGCTGCTGGCTCGTCGCCATGTCAGCAAGTGTATCCAACCAAACGTGTTCATCGTCCTCCGGACCCCACTCCGGCATTCGGGAGACACCAACCGAAACCAACCTCGAAGTGACGGACATCATATCTCTTGAGTGAGTCATCTCTTGCCCTCTCCTCCTCTTCTCCTATCCACAATCCGGTCGCGCAGATATTGCACGTAGCAGTAGTCGGTGTGCTGGCTTGCGCAACGCGTGGCTTAGCCGTCAGAGCCTGGTGCGTGATATAATGGTGCTGAGCGATTCAATCGCACTTTCTGTGCCAAATACGCGACACCTAGTACAATCATTGCTCACGCGGTGCTCCCCCGAGACATGAGCTGACTTGCGGAGGCACAGAAGATCGAGTGCAACAAGCTTCTTTAAGTGTCGACTTGATGGGCCAGGTTCCGCAACCGTACAAAAGGATTGAACGTACGGCTGAATTGTAAACTGACTTCAGGATGAGAGTGATGTCGCGCCGGTGCCATAGGTGGCGGATATAGGCAAAAGTGCCTCGAGCTTTTGCTAACAGGTCATAGACCGACATCAGTAAAATTGATTGATGTGCGTGTTAGCGTTGCGTGCACCTTCTGCATACGCATTACAGACATTTCTCGATGCATCAATGCTGTCAATGTCGCTTTCCGGTGTTCGGGTATCACTGTTTGCAATTTCCAATGCATCATCGATGTTTGTGGTTATCCAGAGCAATAGTATGACGTCCAACTATCGACTTATCTGAAACATTTGCTGTTTGCACTCGGTATGGGACAAGTATCTGTATTACAAATGCCGCCCGAGGTGGACAGCCCCACCACCTCCTTGCTAGACCACTAAGAAATTTACGTCCACCGAACACCTCCAAACACCTAGCTTTATGTGCATTGGTTACCCATAAATCGCCCAGGTGGGTGTGAAGCTCGAAAGTGGTCGACTCACTGCGGAGCATTTCACGTTCTTTAATGGAGCCATAGGTCTTTCACAGGGTAAGATACAACCGAGATATTAATGGCCCTGCTGTAGTAAGTTTCTTGTTTACAAAGTTTAGTTATCCCCGACACGTTTTTGATTAGTCAGCTTCCATTAGCTCAGGCTAAGTACCAGCATCATGGTGACTTGAGTTGAATCGACTGAAACCTACTGCATTGCGGTGCTCAGGTAATGTGCAACAAACCAGGCTAAGTAGAATTATGAACCAGGATTTGGGTGCAATGGAACAAGTTCAATGCTGATTAGTTGTTACCGAATGAATGCCAGAAAACCACATGTTACTCAAGTTGATGAAGCCAAGGTACCCTGACAGCAAAACGAAAAACAACGCGGAAATTATAGTTAGTATAAGGGGTAAAAATGATCTGCACGGATTAGACATGATTAAAAACATGGGCATTAAATGGAAACGAAGTGTATCGGAAACCGCAATTGCGCTCATAAATCGAACACAAGTCACATACCTCTGTGCAAAAGTCTGTCAACTCAGGATGAACTTGGGGCTGAACGTACACATGAAATTCACTTTCTGAAACTAAGCTCCGGCTATTCACTTTGATTACCGGGAATTCTATTATTTCCTATAACAGAAGGAGTCAGTTGTCATTAATTGCGTTGAATGCATGACAATAAACAATGAAGTAAAAATTTTGAATACGGACGATACGGACACAAGGACAAATGATATCGTTGGTTCGTGTGAGTACCTAGAGATCGGCCGATCCAGTTGCCCAACTATGAACCAAACACTAGAGGGCGGTGAGTTTGGCAGGCATAACGCGGAAGATATCGAAAACTCATGACTTCAGAAATGTATGAAAATACCTCAAGGCAATGGAGTGCTTTATGCACCCAGAAGGCGTGAATACTCAGCTGTAACACATGCTTTCGGTCATGTAACAAAAAAGGTGATACAAAAGCAAACCAAAGGATAGATGAAAAAGCTACATCGATAAAACGCCATGCGGCTGTCTCATCTTTCTGGAGTCGTCATGGGTGCGTATTTCATCTGACCCCCATGGGTCTCGAACCTGTAAGCCAGCCATTGCTGTCTACGGATGAGATCAATGAGTTACGGGGAGCGGCAATAACGATAGCGGCTAAACTACTAGAGGTGCTATAGCGCCGCTCATTATCCACTGACTTGTACCTTACTGCTGTGCAAAGTAGCCTACTCTGTAATCTGTATATTAAAATTATCTATAAACTCCGGCGTCATGCGATGCAGAGCACATTAATTTTAATGTTAAGATATTTTCCACCTACTTGAGGAAAGGTCCGAAACGTGACTGATAAAATTATGTCATATGGTTGTTCGATCCTCGATGGGTCAGTTAGACCTAACATCAAAAATAGGTCCACCTGTGACCATGGGATCCGGTATTCTCCCTGCTTCGCTTCTCTGAAGAACCTTAAACAATATAGCTCAAGCCGGACAATCAGTGGTTAACGTACGCCAAAAGATCCACACAGTCCATGTCAAACTGGAATTATCTAAAACCCTCACTCGTTCTATTCTCGAATACTGCAACTTCATCTATGGCAGCATACAGAAGAAGAACACGAGAACTATGGAAAATTTACAGAGGGCATTCACCAAACGTTAAGTAGCACAGCTACCCTGAACTACTGCAGCTTCACATCGAGCCACTCTGGCTGGGACATCTAAAGCAAAACTTAATGCTCCTTCACAACTATCTGCATAAGAAAACAATCTTACCTGCCCAATATAAAGATAAAGCATGAAACTATCAAAAACTCCGCTACAAAAAATTTACGTTACTGATACCAAGAGCCAGAATAACCATGCAAGCAGGGCATGTGAAAACCCTACATCATTCCACAGCAAATTCGACAGATTCCATTCCGACAAGTTACCTGATGAAATATTCCAATACGGACGAAAAATAGTTGAAAAGTCAAAAAGTCATCAGTATTCATTTATGCAAGAGTATGATTATTTCCGTAAGCAGCGATATGTTCATATCTTGAAAGCGGTCCCACATACTCACGCGAATGCAAAGGAAACGTGCAAGATGTGGACGACTGACGTTCCTCGCTCATTATGGTCGTCCCGTGCAGCATCAGGCTAATAAATTGATGACAGCTTTGATGGAGTCATGATAGCGTACACTGTCCCCATAGTCCTGCAGCTAGATAGGTTCATCCACACAACCACAGAAAATGCGCCAAGGTCCATAGTGGGAAAGGGGGCAACTGGATCACCGGCTTTGACCAAGATGAACGACGCCCATGAACGAAAGGAGGGCTTGCACAATCGCCCACTGCTTGCACAGTTACGCTGCATTCAATTGAACACAATGTGCCCTAAACATCGTCCAATCGTCTAGCCCCTTTCTTTGATAACAAGATGCAGCAGTAGGCCAATAGTTTGGGTTTCGTGGAGTCATGATAGTCTGCATTGCTCCAATAGTCCGGTAGTTGCACAGATTCTCCCAAACACCCACAGGAAATACGCTAAGACCCAGAGTGATAGCGAAAAACTGGGTCGAGGTTAAACTGCTTCATCAGTCACGATCCCAGTGATCGAATAGGCCACGAGTTGGTTAAACGGGAATCGTGGTCCACATTGAGATTGCGCACCGCATTTCATTCACAAAACGAGTGCTGCACAATGACCCTAGCGGTAACATCTGTTTAAGTCATAACAGACCACGTGATTCGGTGTCTGACTTTCCAATAGTCCCACAGCTACACAGATTCAAGCGCAAAGTCACAAGCACATAAACTACGCGATAACCGATGGGGAGTGAGAGGGAAACTTAGTCGCCGCATTTGACGGGGTGATCGAGGTTCACGACCAAGAAAATGACTTCAATGGCACCCGTTACTTGGCCAAATCAGTTACCTTAGCACGACTATAATGTGGTCCAACCATAGTCCAATCGTGTTATACCTAATTTATTGCTAAAAATGTGATTTTCTGTTTTGAATGCAATGTGTCCAACTTAGTTTGCAAACCTTCCAATTTTAAGTGAAGACGGTCCATATATATACATATATATATATATATATATATATATATATATATATATGAAGACAGAGGTAGCTCCCTGAAAAACCCCGGATGTATTCCAGCACCGAGTTGATCATTCAACAGCAAAACACGGTTTACGCATACTAAGGTGAAAATGAATACATTGTCTATCGATGAGAGGAGCGAATGCAGAACGTTGCCCTTAGCGTCTTGAGGTGTCCTCCCACTGCGGTAGGTAAAAGGTAAAGGGATCATTTGGGCGCTTTTGTGACAGCATCTAAAATTTGAATTTTTAAGATAACTTCGAGGGTATTGAAGTAAAAGCAATCGATTCTTTGGTATGGGTGCAATACTGGCATATTCCAGTAATCAGCATTGCTGTTGTTGCGTACACAATGTACACAAGTTAGCCACAAGTATGACCAAGAAGTCAGCAGATTCCCTGAGGAAATGGGAGATAGCCTATCAGGGCTGCACGTCTTACTATACTATAGGTGCTTCAGTACTGTGTGTGCATTTTCGCTGTCGACAGATGACAATGAATCTGCAGATAATTTAAGGTTTGATACTGGATTATTGTAGCAGTTCAAGAAATCATGGTTCAGTTACTCCACATATACATCAGAGGTTGATGCATATCGAGTAACATCGCTCATTTGTTTCAACATCCACTAGAGTTCACGAAAGCTACTATTGCCAAGCATCGCCTGAACGTGCACATAGTTGAGACGGTGTAACTAAACCTTAATAAGGTAGAAGTTTCATTGAGGTATTATCTTTCCTTTTTGAGTGATGGCTCCACTTCCACGGCCGTCGACCCGATAACTATTAAACCTGTCGACCGATACAAGTGCATCTCATCCACCTCCTAGTGAGGTTAGACCCCCGCATTAAAATGATGCCTAGTTGCGAATAATTTCGTGAGCTGATAGTAATCGGTAGTTTATCATCTCCCCCGGAAAACGAGATGTAATCTCGAAATGTTATCACAGCCACCCGATTACGCTCAGAAATATTGTAAACTTCTCAGTCTCTATAAGAAGAATAACTTACGATCAACCTGTGATCGATATATATATGCATGACTGTAAAAAGTTGAACATGACATCACTGGTGTGTCTCGTGATTAGTCGAGAATATATTTGTTTAGAATCGAACGGATGATAACGATAAGTAAAATGAATATGCTAATATTCTCTAATTTTTTTCAGAGAGCAACCGACCACCATGTGCAACGTCTTCTTGCACAATTATTGAAATTCTTGCAGTCTATTAAGTTTATTCCTTGTAACGTTACAGTTGGAAAATGCAGAACCGGTGGGCACCGAAACATGGTGATGTTAAGATAACGCGTGTTTACGTTGACATAACTCTAATCGCAAAGGAAGAAAGTGCAATCACCGTGTGTGTTAATACTTCCGCGGGAAGAAATTATAAAGCAAAACTAAATTTGAAGGCCACGCAACCTGAAAATAAAACATATAGGCCGGTTGGGCTTGGAGAATCCGCTGGTGGTTGGGTTGTTACAAGCAATCTCTATTGAGACATCGGTTCACTTGAGGTGGATCTCGGTCATTCCGATCACAAAGACCGTAAGTAAAATAGAAACAATATAGTGTTGCTCATCCCAACACTGGCACTCCAAGACCGCGGTTTCGGCCTGGTTGGGACTCATCAGTTGGAGATAGCCTGAGTTGGGCGGGAACTCAGAGCCTAGTGGCTCATGACAGAGAGAATAGGTATTTTGTCGGCGGTCCGAAAAAGACATTTTGCATTATCATGTAATGCTCAATCTGTACATCCGCTAGTTTACTACTCACTTCAGATACAAAGTGAGCCGTTTAGACACAAGGTTGTTTCGCGGAGCTGGGTCAATGCATATTCTGGGAGAGTTTGAATGAGCAGGCACTACACCGAATACATCAACTCTCGTTTCAACCAACATGGCCCAACGACAGCTCGTCCGCATTCACAACCAAACAAACTACTGGTGTCCTCCAGTTTAGTTTGCCTCGAACGAACGATTTGCAACATGCAGCGCTGCGACCGAAACTATCGATCGTCCGACTGGCTGATATGGTCTCTGCGCAATTTGACTCGCTGTATGGTGAAGGCATCGCTGAGGTGAGCTCCGATTAACTGTGCGTACGTTTTGCGGAGTTGTGTGTTATTTGCATACAGCAGACTCAACATGAACACGGGTTAGATGGTCTCTGCACGCGTCACCTAGCCTACACAGCGACCGTTGGTGCGTTCTGCTTAAAGTACTATTTTTACAGTATATATTGCGGATCTAACAACTTTGTCCTACTGTTACCGCATTGTTGCTTACAAGGATCATACAGAGGTCATCAATGTTATCCCACACTGCCGAGTTTTTAAAAATGTGAGTCTTATGCCGCATGCGGTCTCAGTCACAAACACCATCGACCGAATATTAAAACAACGCCTTGGTGAGAGAACCACTGTGCTGGCTGGCAAGAAGGATTCAGATGCTGTCCAATTAATAAAGCGCAAATTCCTCTGATTAGCACTAGCAATGTGCGCTCCCTACTTGGCAAAATCGTGGAACCCAAGGCCACT